CGCAAAAGGGTTCAACTTCCAGAAATCACGTGGCTAATTTTTATATTGTTAGGATGTGGTGAACGCTCGTTATGAAATTTTTAGTTTGAATAATTAGATTGACGTTAATTTTGTTTGAATGTTTGGATGTTTATTATCGTTTTTCGTGCTTTTCAATTAATTGGCCAATAGTTGAATTGTTTGTAAATTTTGTTGTTATCGAGAAAGACAATAGGATCATTTGCACAAAATAATAAATATTGTGAGATTCGATATAGGATGAAGATATATCTCCATGCTTCATATGGTTTTTAAAGATGTTCTAGCTTGTTTAATATTTTCTTGTACATTCGTATCTTTCGTAGAAATATAGAAATGTCATATGTAGGATTAAATTTAATTGCTACCGAGAGAAGTTTTTAAATAAAATAAGAATATTGACCAACAAGCATGATTTTAAATTGTTAAACTAAAAACGGATTAATAAGATGAATTCTACATCTTAGCAATATTTTTTACAAATTTGATAAATTTTCTTTACATTGCTTTTCATTTAGTTGATAGATTTAATAGTGTTAAGTTACAACTCGATTTTGCTATTTAATTAAGGATATTGTTAGCTTTAACTCGATCAAATACATAATTTTCGTGAGTTTGACACTTTACACACCACTTTATTATTTGTTCACAATCCTATCCACTTGCACTTATATTTGACTGAGTGAACAAATGAGTCGAATACTGAAACAACGAAAATTAACTCAAATTAAGTATAAAATAAATAATTTGACGATATACAAATTTAGTAATGTCGCATAAATAAGTGCACAAAATGCACTTATCAAAGCACATAGCGAATTTTTGAACTAACTTGAAGCATAGGTTGGAATAGAGATTTAGCCCCTGTTTAGTGGGGATTAAAATTAAATTTTTAGTATATTTTGATAAAAGTTAATTAAATATATGGTTGAAAAATTGTGGATCGCATGAAATATATGATTAAAATTAGTGTTTAATTTTGATTTAGATTAAAATCTAAATTTTAACTTCTACCAAACGGGCTTTAAAAAATCTGACACTCAAATAATTCGTAGAATTGAAGTAGATCCGTAATAAAGTAACAACCTCGCATATCAATAAACATTCGGAACTGTTAGAATCTTACCATCCAATAAAAGGATTAACAATGTGTAGCAATGTTAAGAAAATGGAACATTTGAGAAGCTTTCCGTTTTGAACAATAAAATGACTGCTCATCTTGAACAAAGCATTTACGAAATTTCTTAGGTTAGAAAAATAAAATAATTGATTGGACCTTGCTAACCAGTTTTCTCCAGATCCGGAATTGGAAAAATAAAATAATTAGTTTGTCTAGAAGGACGTGCATGATTATAAGCCTAAACCAATGTTACAATAGCTTGGTTGGCTGTATTAAAAGTTAAATGTATTGTGTCAAATTGCTATAATTTTGACAGTTTTAATCTCTAGCAAATCTCAAGTTAGGGGTGACAAACAGATGAGCCACTCATGAGCTCGACTTGTCTTGGCTCAGTTCAGAGGCACCCATGCTCATTTTGAGACAAGCCACGGATGAATCGAACCCTATCAAGTTTGGCTCTTGAAATTACGAACCAACTCATGAGCTGGTCCACGAGCCTGGCCCAAGAGGTGACTCGTGTGCCTTTACTTTATGGGAAAATTTCATATATCAGGTGTATTATTTACATAAATTCAAAAATTAAGTAAATAGTTTGAAAATTTAAAATTCAGATATATATTTAATTAATTAAAAATATTTATCAATTAAATATATAATAAAGTCACATATACAAAATTAATGATCACAGGTACATAATTATAAGTCACATATCATCAAATTAATTGATCACAAATTATCTTGAGGTCACAAATCAGAATTTTTATAAGTCACGGATTATTTTAAAATCACAAATCATAAATTTTATAGGTCACAGTTTATTTCGAAGTCACAAATCTTAAAATTACAAGTCGCGGATTATCAAAATTCTAGGTTACAATTAACCAGCTGGTTAGAGATAACTAAATGGGTGGTCACATAAACCAAATAGTGGTCACATACCACCATCACCAACGCTAACACACCACTACTACCATCACAACCACCCTCACCCCGTTATCATCGTCGCTACCACAACAGTATCATTTCCAAACCACCAAAAAAATTGTCCCAAAGCTACCTATCACTTGTTGTTGTCTTCCGACTAGATCGAGTCATTGTGACATTGCCGGCTACACAAACATTCTCAAAATTACCACTGGACACAACACCCACCACCACCCCACCCATCAATAACACTATCTTAAAAATCACATTTTCAAAATCACCACACCACCGTCTAGTCATCCAACAGAATCGATAAAAGTCTAATCCACCTTCAGCTAAAGAAAAGCTAGATTCCCCAACTTTAATTACAATAGATCTGTCCCTATCCACCTCTTCGCAGCCTGAGAAACGCAAAGCCCATTTAGCGCCTGCTTTAGAGACACTGACTAAGAAAATCCAATTCTCTGTGAATGAGATCCATCAACCCTCATTGGCTTCTTCGAGGGACTTTTTTGCAAGACCAAGAGATTCGGACTCACTGTTTGTGGCAGCACTTGCACTTGCACTTGCGCTCACGACGACGAAGGTATTGGCCAGCACAAAAAAGAGAACAAGGATCGAAGAGAGATGGAGAAGAAGTCCATTTGAGAGAGAGAGAGAGAGGCGAGAAGTGAGAGAAAGAAAAAAAGATGAAAATGATTAGGGTTTGGAAGTTCAATTTGATAAGGTGGAATAATTTTTTTTTTAATATTATTATTAATATTATTAAAAAACCTGCTTCAGTGTAATTTCCTCTAACTTTATTTTATTTTTTTTCCTCACAGTTGAGCCAAATGGTCATGTGACTGTTTGGCCCAATGGTCAAATTTCAATTAAAGAAAAGGGTCAAATAATTTTTTCGTATAGACCTCCAATCCATTTTTCTACAAATACCTACCTTCTCAATTTATAGTTGTCATAACTTTCATATTCTCTCTTTTATTGTACAATATAAAACTTTATTGTCTCCATTTATGTCATTTCATATTACTATCCAATTTTAATATATATTCTATCATTCTACCTTTTTCTTCCATATATTATTCCTGAGTTCGTGGTTCAATCAATTCCATATGTAGATATGAATCAAGATTGAACTTTTATACTGATGTATTGACTTGAACAAATTGACTGCATTCACGATCTTCAGAAAAATCCTAAAAGAATTCTTTACCACTTCCTAAAGGGGAGCTCTAGGAAGGATGATTTGAAAGAGTGGCTCTAGAAAGTGATAAATAACAGTTTCATAATTTACTAGGAGGTCATGAATGCAACCAATTTGTTCAAGTAAATAATCAAAGGTTTTATGTGGATTCATATCTATGAATAGAATTGGTTCAAAGATGTCATCTATGGACTATGTGATTCTTTGAAATTCATGAAAATATACGCATGTATTGCATTTTGCTAGAGATTTTAATTTATTTAAAGGACAGAGAAGTGACAAAGCTTCGTATTCAAGATAAAGGGTTATTATATGTTCTAAGATTTGGTTGAATTGTGGGTATTCTATTCGAAAGTTGAGGATACAAATATTGAATTCGGTTCACCATTACAAATATATGTTGATTTCTGGGACAAAAGAAAAAGTATCTTTGTAAAGAATTTGGAAGAAATTTTTTTTTTTTTTTAACGAGGTGTCCCAGTTTGCGCCAAACTATATCCTCGTCCCTAAACCCCCGACCCCTCAGCTGCTCAGGGAGGTAAATCGCAGGATTGTGTCTTTGTTGGTTTCCAGGTTCCCACATGACTTTTACTCCTTCCCCAAAAGAAGCCTCCTCCATGATGATTAATCCACCAATAATTCCTTCTTTATTGGATCAAAAGTTCTCACTAGGAATCGAACTCCCCACGCTTGATTCCAAAGCCCCAAATGTGATTGTTTCGCCAACTTGGATGTGCCCTGGGGGGCGAATTTGGAAGAAATTTTATTTGCATAGAAGTGAGAATGAAGAGTTTTGGGGGTTCCATGAATGGGGGTGCGACAACCAAAATAGAGAGAGATCGGTGATAGGTGATGGTGGTAACGGTGGTGATGGTGAATAATGGTAATGTGAGAGAGAGAGGAATCTTTGGGATTCATTCGTATTGCTTCGAAAATTTTGGAACTATGGTTGTAGTCAGTTATTTTTTTATTTTCTTTTCGTTTTATTTAAATGAAAGGGCATATTCGTTATTTCACATTTTTTATGGAGAAAATGGACGATAGGGGATATTCTACATTAAACGTTTCAAATGTGGACGCTTTCTGTTATTTTCAAAAGGTACCGAGTTTTCGACAACTTGCCCAATAAATGGGGGGTATTTTGCTGTTTTACCTTTAAAAAATTACCATTACAACATTTATTTAATTAATTATTTATTTATTTTTAACTCAAAATGGGGCTAAAAAACCGTACGTATCTCAGTAAAACGTGAGTCAAGGACGCCCTTGCGTTTAAAATTCAATCCATAAATTACTAATTACTGCACATTTATTTCATGCAGTGAATTTAGGCCTGTTCGAATCCCAAAATGTATTGATGGAATAGTAATTTTTTTTAATTTAAGTGTAATATTATTTTAATGAAAAATGTGCGATTAAAATTGAGTACTATAAAAAAAATAATGAAAAAGAATATAGGGTAAAAAATGACAAACGATACTTAGCCATGTTTGGTTTCAATTCTTTCCTCATTAAAATAAAAAATATGGTCGTTATTCATCACATTAAATTACTAAATTTGAATTTATATCTCTTATGTGAAATCGATAATAATTATATTTTTCATTCTTGTTCTTTAAAAAATTGAGAGACAATCAGAATTTTAATTGAGCTTCCCAAGAATGCACTGTAAATCGTGCGGAAAAGAGGTAAACTCGCCACCAAAAATCATGTCTTCATTCATTACAAACTGGACAATTTTCTGCCACGCGCAGCTCAATCACTCTCCAATCTCACTCTCTCTCCAAGTGCAATATCAACTTTATTATTGTCCATTCTCCCATTCCACTTCTCTTATCTTCTTCAAATCATACAAAATTTTTTACAGGACGAATTCATGATCTGCTAATCCTGCGTTTTTGTCATTATTGGGTCAGTTTTATAATTCTGTCCTTTAATTATGTATTATTACTTGGGTTTTTGTGTGGCTCATAGGAAGGAGATAGACATGTTCAATTTACAGAGATTGCTTTATAATCGAAATATAGATGATGTTAATATGAATGGGTAACATGGGTTATTTTCATTAGATTTTACAATTCATGATTTTATTATGGATGGTGGATTTTTTTGTTGGATTCAATCTATTTATTTTGTTTGTGTGCTTGGTATTTTTTTTTTTTTTATTAGTTTTGGAGCATGAAAAAATTAGTTATTTCTTGGACTCTGCTGGAAAATTTGTTTTGCTTAGTTGAGAAATGCGAATAGAACCTTTTGCCTGTTGAGATTTCATTCTATCACCATATGAACCAAAACAAAAGAATTGTTACTGGGCGGAGTAATCTTGAACTTGGTTTCTGCATGAAATTTTGAATTCAATGAAGTATACTTCTAACGTAAAACAGAGGTTTTGTTTTATATATTTGTCTGGACTCTGGTGAATTTCACCAAAGATTTTGTTTTGATATTTTTATCTGGACTGGTGAGTTTCGCCAACAATAGCTTGTTTTGATATAGTAATTGGCAGAGCATAAAGTTTTGAAATAGTATTAGTATCGTTCATTCTATATCTTCGTGGAAAAGCTAATCAGATTGAACATCTGTTCTAACTCGAAAGATTAAAATAAGAATTCTGTTTTCAGGACAGATTTTGATAGTTTATGGCTCCTAAACCTTTCTATAAGGTAGCAGAACATATACATTTATAATTTGTTTAAAAACGTGCTATTTTACCTGGCCTTCATTAGATTTTTGTTCCCTTTTTGATTGTTGATTTCGAGAAAATGGTTAGAAAACTCTGTTTTAATTCGAAAATATCAAAATTTGCACTCTCTTTATGGTACAGATTCTACTAGTTTATGGCTTGTAAGGTTTTCTGAAGCTAGTAGAATGTAGAACATTTGTAAGAAGGTGATCATAAATGTCCCATTTGACCTGGCCTTTATTAAGAACTTAACTATTTTCTTTTTTATTATCCATTTTGAAAAAAGTGGGAAGAGTTTTTGAAAGCATGCATTTAGCAGTATTTGTTTCATAATTTCAAGGAAATGCACTACCTGCTCTGCTTTTTTTTTCTAACCTGTGCAATTACAATCAAATTGATTAACCTATGGCACAATCATTAAGTCTTTCTATAACTCTATACTTCTATGGTATCTTAACGTGCAAACTGTCGCTTATGAAAACAAAGATGATGCTTTAAATTTAGGAACTTTTGACACCTCTAGTGTAACTTGTGATTTACTATTAGTCTTGCAACTATGACTAGATTTTATCATAACTTTTATAAATTTCAACATTTTAAAAGACTGGGAGTTCACATCATGCTTACAGATCTTACACTAAATTTTATTGTAAATTATCTGCCAGTATACTTCTTACTTTTAGCCTAGACTAACTAAGTTTGGTTTTCCACTGCTCTTATTTTTGCAGTAATCTGAATATTGTTTGACAAAATAATGTCTTCTCCTAGCAAGAGGCGAGATATGGATGTTATGAAACTGTAAGTGTTTGTTGTCCGACATTCTCAATCACTGATATCACTGCTTTATTTATTATTTTTGTGATAGATGTCCAATCAGATTGCAGCGAAGTCATCAACTATTCTAGAGTGTTCCATAGTTAGTTAGCTAAAGGGTAAAAGAGTAATAGAAAGCTAGTAGATTGTCTATAAATATAATAAGGGGGAGCTGGTATTTTCATTCAAGAAGAGAAGTATTGAGAAAAGAGTGGAAATATCAGGCCTCTCGAATAGCCTGAGCTTTGTTATCATTTCTGTTCATTCAATATTCCAGTAGACCTCTTAATTGATCATCCATTGAGTACAATTAACTTCAGTAGGAGCTCCAACAGTTGAGCTCTGCTCGGCAACTGGGTTTCTACCAATTTGGTATCAGAGCATCCACCTAGGAACATAGGATTCACTGACTGGGCTTCATAAGTAGCATTTGCTACAGAGTAGGAGCTCATAGGAGCAGCTACAACAACTAAGACCTCAGCCACGGTTGTCAGCAAAAATCACCATTAGCAGGGTTCAATTGTGAAATGAGCAATAGCCGCAGCAGTCGTAGGGCATTATATCAATTTGATTCAAATTAGCACAACATCAATCAGTTCCATGGAAACACACTGGGAAATGGCGCTTGCAGATCAGGTAGGGCTTTTGGAGGCGAGAATCGACAGAATACAATTGGAGATTCAAGATGGGCTAGTTGCAGTAAGATCCAAATTTAAGAGAGATTTGTCAATTTCAATGAAGAAGCTCGAATTAATGATGAAGAAATTGGACGGACATGAACGAGAGGGAAAGAGGAAGGGGTGGAAGAAGCTTCAGCCGAAATCACCATCACCTCTAAAACTCTACCTAAATCTGAGAAAATCGAAGCTGACTGGAATCACTGTAGTCATAGGTGGCTGTTAGAAAATCTGTCCGTCCCTTTATAGTTGTTGCCGAGGAGTTTCAGCGAAGCAATGTGGATAATGAGTTGAAATCTATGTCAGGGGATAGTGACAGAAGGCTATGGCATCAATATTTGGGACTTATTATGAATTTGGCCCAAAGTGTGGAAAATATAAAAGAATTCATGGATCAAGCCTAAGAAAATTACAATTCAGACATGACTCAAACTTTGGGAGTTCTTTATGTGGCCCCACCTGGTTATGGAATTTTTAGGGATAACATTTTAATGGTAGGTGGACAACTGGCTCCACAAGCTAATAGCTGCAACAAGCTTAGTCTGAAAATGTTTCAGCTATATGAAATTCTGAACTTCGAAGTTAAATCACATTTCCACATTGAGGACAAGGTGAATTTCAAGGCCGTGGGTAATGATAGATATCCAACCAGATTGCAGTGAAGTCATCAACTATTCTGGAGTGTTCCATAGTTAGTTAGCTAAAGGGTAAAAGGGTAATGGAAAGCTAGTAGATTGTCTATAAATATAATAAGGGGGAGCTGGTATTTTCATTTAAGCAGTGAAATATTTAGAAAATAGTGGAGAGATCACACCTCTCGAATAGCCTGAGCTTTGTTATCATTTCTATTCATTTCAATATTCCAATAAACAATTTAATTGATCATCCATTGAGTACAATTAAATTCAGTAGGAGCTCCAATAGTTGAGCAGCAGCAATTGGGGTTCTACCATTTTGCTTACAATGATTATCTGTATTTCCAGATTATGTTACTGAAATCTGTTATATTAACGTGAACGATTAATTGGTTTTACAAATTTTCCATGTTTGTTCTGTAGAATGATGAGTGACTACTCAGTGGAGACAATAAATGATGGAATCAGTGAGTTCAACGTGGAATTTCATGGTCCAAAAGAAAGTAATGTCACTGAATCCTTTATATTCAAATGGGTTCTCTAGAGATCACTCGCACAAGTCATTTGTCCATTTCGCTTGTGTTGATGTATTTTGGTATTCCTAATATTTACTGTATTTCCCACGCCTTTTTATTTTTTATTTTTTATTTATTTGAGTTTTGCCTGACTAGTTCAATATTTGGACAATAATCAACTAGATTCATAGAGAAACTTTGTCCATTTTCGAGTGAATGCTTGCAATGTCTGGTCAAACTGATAGGAGCTATACTGACTGTAGCTACATGCAATACTGGAACTAGTTTTTGTATGTCTCAAGCATTTAGAGCATAATAATAGCTTTTGGCTAGTTAGTTCACTGACAGCTTGTTGGAATTCACTGACTTTGGTTAAAAGATTTTTTCTACATGATATGTACAATTAGATCTCCTTTTCCTGAAAGATTTAGTTATGGAAAATTCAGATATTGGAATTAATATTTAATCTTGCATTTATACATGATGGCTCAAGAAATTGAATCTCTTTTCTTGGGTAGTCTCTTCTATATTTTGGAGATTTATTGCATGTCATCAATAGACACTGATATTGTTTGATGCACATTCTTTACATATCATGAGAACTTGCTAGTTTCTCGCTATTATTTACTCCATTTATGATGAGTGGCTGGGTTCTAGACCATGCTATCTTTGTTGGAGATTGATTTTTACGTTTTGAAAAATAATTATATAGGTTTTATGGGATTATTTGAATCAACAGTGTTTCCCTTAGACTTTGCTACAGATTTTAGTCTACAGGATTCCTTTGCATCTGACCCATAGTTCTGAAATGTTTTTATAAATGTTGTCTCTGTCTCTTAGGTTTTAGGGGATTATTTGAATCGAACATTGTTCGCCTAAAACTTTGCTATTGAGTTTTGTCTCCATAATTCCTTTGCACTCTGGATTTTCTTTATAACTGTTTTTGGTGGTTTCTGTCTCTTAGGTTGTCATGAAGAAAATGTTCACAATGTCTGTATACATTTTGCCTCTTCTCTGTCAGGCTTCAAACATTTATTCTTGTTATGTTCCTGTTGACTGCAGGCCTCTATGAAGGTGGAGTCTGGAAAGTACGGGTTGAATTGCCAGATGCCTATCCTTACAAATCTCCTTCCATTGGGTTTCTTAACAAAATTTTCCACCCAAATGTTGATGAGCTGTGAGTTTTCATATGCTTTTGTTGTCTATTGTTCTTGCTTCAATTTATTCCACTTTATGGGAAAAAATTCAATATTTTTTCTTTTAGTATTTCTTGTCTACAGGACGTTATGGGTTCCCCTTATTTCCATTAACATTCAAGCGTTTTTCACTTGCTTATCATGCTTATGATTATTCAGTTTTTGAATTACAGGTCTGGTTCGGTATGCTTGGATGTCATTAACCAGTCATGGAGTCCAATGTTTGGTAAGTTTAAACAGTTCAATACCTAGCAGCATTACTTTTTACTAAAGTTCTAAGTTGGTGGGTAAATTTGTCAACAATGATTGCTGGAGTCAGAAAAAATACTCTCAATAGGACTTGCTAACTGGTTTTGAGTAACCAATCGTTGGAATAATCAGCATAGGGGCATCTGCATACATCTAAAGCATGTTCTGCTTGCAGTATTACTGTATTAGACATGACTGGAGGATACAATGGACAAGATTTATAGTTTCGTTTTCTTTTGACCTTTTTAGGCCAAACATAGACTAATTATTTTGTTTTTCGACGACATGAATAACCATTCGTCATTTTTCACTTTCTTGCATCCACTGTAGAAGACGGTCTAGATTTAAGATCTTTTTGGGTCGTAGATTTCTCTGTTTTCATCATTTTATGAAAAGGAAGGGTGAAGCTTTCATTTCATTCAACTTGTATTTGTATCCTCTGGATTTTTCACATAAATGGTGTTGATGATGTACTTGTGATCCATGCAAAGAATGGATTATAATGTTTCACTGAGTGTAAGGATCATGATGTTGAAAGTGATTACTCTTTATGAGTATCTTCTTTAAAAATCTCATGTCATCTCATCAAGAGTATGTTTGTATGCAGATCTCTTAAATGTATTCGAGGTCTTCCTTCCTCAGCTATTACTTTACCCGAATCCATCAGACCCACTGAACGGTGATGCAGCATCCCTGATGATGAAGGATAAGGAACAGTATGAACAAAAGGTTAAAGGTGAACCATTTTCCTTTTGTTCCTTAAATATCTAAGAAATATTTTTGTGTCAAAATAAGTAACTTAAGTGATAGGAAAAAGTAAGATATCGAAATATGTTTTGAAACAAAAAGTTCATTAAAAATAACTTTTACGTTTTTCTTTAATCTATAACCAAAGATGGTCCAATTTTGAGGGAAACCTTCATACTAGTAAAGTTGGCATCTTTACTCCATATCCGATCAGTGTTTGACATCGTCAGTATTCAGTCCCCTCGACCTCCCTAAAACAGAAATACCAGAAAACTAATGGTGAGAATTTAAATTTGAAAGTGTTCAATTTCATTTTGCCTTTCGAGGGTGGGAAGGGTATTTGTAGATGGATGGTAGGCTATAAGAAGCAGTGTCATACTTCTCAAACCTCTTCTTTTGTGGTCCAGAGTACTGTGAACGTTATGCAAAAAAGGAACACATTGTCAACGACCCAACGGATGGAAGCGATGAAGAACTAAGCGATGAGGATTTTAGTGATGGACGGAGTGATAGTGACGATGATGTTGCGGGACATGCAGATCCTTAGGCAAACAGAGGATCCTTAAAACCTTAACAGTGTTGTTCACATTAGCCGTTCATTCTTTAATGTTCTGTGTGTTATTAAGTTTCACTTGCATGCAATATAGAAGCAGAAAGGAAAAATTTAAGGACAGTATATTTTATAAATTGAGTGCATACTGAATTTGTAGTCAATATATTATTCATTCTAGTAAGTGCAACAATTGATGAATGCTATTTTGCTTGCTTGCATTTGGGTCTAGGGGAGGCAAAATGTCCTGCTCCTACCTTGTTAGGCAGTAGAGGCAGATTGCTCCCCACCTCAGCTTGTTATTATTACTATTTTTTTTTTAAAAAAAAGTTCTTTCTTTCTTTAAATTTTGAATTGTATTTAAATAAATAAATAAATTGGGCAGGAAATGAGATATGAATCTCATCTCGATTTCTTAAAAATAAATAATGTTATTTAGTACTATTGGTGTTAGAATATTAGTTCAGGTGGTCACATTTAATAGATCCAATTAAATGAAGGGGTATTTTCCAAAATGTCCAATTCCATGGGTATCAATTAAAAAATGTTCACTTTTTAAATTTAGTAATAAACTGTTTATTATGCCCTTAATGAAAAAATGAAGCAATTAATTATTTTTTTCCAATTTGTCCTGGATTTCGAGTAGTAGCTTTTATGAGAAATTACATTAAAATGATGTTTTCAACATTTCAAATATCGTTCTCGATATTTGAACCCCGTTTATATTGTAAAAGTACACATGTCAAATAACAATATTAAATATTCTTGACATTTCAAATGTTGTTTTCGACATATTAGATATTTAGAATGACATTTCTCTAAACTTGAAATGTAGTTCTCGACATTTCTCTGTCAATGAAAAAATAGCATTTATTGTGATTTGACATGTGTACTTTTGAAATAAATATGATAAATTATGTGTCAAAATTTTATTGGCCAATAAAATTTTAATTGCAAAAATATTCATTTTTGCCTTTGTGTGGAATTATAAATTATTAACAAGCGTATTTTGGTCTAAATTATTTCAAAATGGACATTATTGCAAGGATTTGCAATGGTGGACATTTTTGCACATGGATATGTGAAAGTTGACATTTCTAGTAATTTCTTTTTAAATGAATTATGTGACATTGTATTTAAGCGAATATATCATTTAGGTCATGTTTGAGTCACATTCTTTTAAAAAATATATATTTTTAAATAGTGATTTGACATTATTTTAACTACACATTCTTCAATGAAATAATATTACACACAAATTCAAAACTTTTTTCAATTTTTTAACCATATATTCTTCGTTAATCTACCATTTGAAAATATATTCTTTTAAAATAATGTGGTTCAAACACACACTTAATATCATGTAGTTGTTACATAAACAAGTGCTAGACACCAGTTATGTTGAATAACATTACTCTTAAAAAACACCTGGTGAGTCGGGTCGGAAGCACCGTCTTAGACCTGCGTCACCCTCCCCAACCCTCGACTACGCCCATCCTATTTTTGGATTTGTGTTGATGTACTTAGTGGATATTTAGATTTGGATCTTGTTTGGTTCGCTTAAGCATTTCACGCTTGTCCAACTCTTACTAGCTTTTGGATATAAAACAGACATCTCATAAGTTAATCTCAATGTAACCTATTATTTCTCTTTTGCAATCGATGGTACGTGAGTTGATCTAAGTTTTGTATGTTTATAAGATCTATTTATAGTGATACAATGTTTACACTTACTCCTTTCGTCAAGTAAGTTGGTAAAGATCAATGAAAGTCCATCGAATCAAACTATCCAGTTATCTTCAGAGCTGTATGGATATTTAATCAATGCATGAACGAAAAATTTCAACAAAAATCACACCAAGTTTGCACAAGGCAACAAGAGGCAGATTACTCTTGCTAACAAATATTTATTGTTATTTCAAAAGTATTAAACAATTTAAAGATACTTACCGGAACAAGAAATAGGATTTGAATCACGAACATAGTTAGAACCGGAAGAAAATGATCGAAAATAGAATTATCATAGCTCATTGACTTTACGATGTGTCCTTAAGATGAATTAACTCCCTTCAATGATTCTTTAAGGCAGTTAGTAATCGTATTTTAGGATATAATGAATTTTGTCTCTCTTACGAAAACAACATAACAATCGTTAATAGTTCTAACGAACTCAACTTATGTTTTGTACTCGAAATATAGAAGTGGAATATAGTAAGAAGGAAAATTCAAAGCATGAATAATCGCATGAGTTGATGTAATTTTTTGGTAAAAAGATATGCTATTTATATATTATTCTTGGACACTCTAACAACCTATAATCCTTTTTGGAATAGTAAAGATCAATTGTCTAATAGTACTTCTTCCAGTACATAAAGAATTTGATTAAACATAATAACCAAGAAAATTTGAATAAATATATAAATAAGTTTTCTTCAAAAAGATATATACTAGACTTGCACCTGCACTCATGTCGTGTTGTGCCAAGCCGTTTGGACGGACGACAAAGATGGTGTGCGCTCGCACGTCAAATCTAATCGCATCTATATCCTCTCCCTTTTCCCAAAATTGGGTGTCCTTTAGGACCCAAACACCTAGGCCTTGCATCTAATAAATCAAACATCTTTTCACTAGCTTTCTTATATGGTACAAATGTTCACCAATTTAATCAAAATCTTCACTTTTTTAAGTTTCAAGTGGGTGATTTTGATCCAAATATTTCATTCAATTCTAAACAAATTAAATAAATATATCATGTTAATCATATCACGAGATAAAATATTGATATGATTGATCCCATTAATTTGGAAGTTCGAATCCACTTAATTTTAAGCTCAAAATTACCCAAAATTAATAATTATAAACCATTTCCAACAAACCTACGTAGTAAGAGTACGTAAAATAATTATTCTAGTATTCAAGTTTTATATGTATATCAAATTTTACGTACCAAATATTTGATTAAAAAATAAATTTGAAATTTATGTTTTGGACAAGATGATTGATCAAACAATCATAGCAGGGGTCACAATTAGTTGAGTATCACAATCCTTGTACACTTGAGCTCGGCTGGTGTCTATAAATTAGGTTCAATTCGGTCCTTGAGGTCATGGGCCTCAGAGCTGAGCTGTTTGTCCACAAGTCGGCCAATGATTTCATCAATTGAGCCTAATGAAAGAAAAGTACCCAACTCAATTTATAATTTGTCTCAAAATGAATCTGAGCTTCGTGGTTCAATTAGTTTGTCACTCCTAATCACACGAATCTATTTTGAGAAAATTACATGGAGCTATATTTTTTAAGATTTAACTTCATAAATAAGATTTTAAGTTTCATGTGATAATTAATTATTTAATATTTATTAAATACATACCATATTAAAAATCAATCAAAATTAAAAACAACATTCTCTCTCTCTCTCTCTCTCTCTCTCTCTCTCTCTCTCTCTCTCTCTCTCTTTTCTCTCTCTCTCTCTCTCTTTGCACTCTATCCTCACCTTCGACATTCTCTATACTGGCGGCGTAGTCATGCACCATTGCCACAAGAAGCGGCTGTACAACCGCCATGTAAAGTGGCCTATATCATCGCCGCTGCCTGTTGGGCTGTGATGCCATTTGATCAGTCCAACTAATAGGTAGTGATGAAATAAGGCCCAATATGGAATCAATAGATGGTCCATTTATTATAAACCTAGAAGGCCCACTTAAACCGAGCCCAATATCCAACCCTTTTAACCCTAGTCGTTCTTGGACCGTTGGATTAACCCACTCAATCTAACGGTGGATTGGTTTACTATACATACTTTCCTTATCCCTTGTTTGGGAGAGAGACGGTCATTCTTCTGTTCTCTTTTTCTCTGTGTATTCTGGAACCTTCAATGACTTTCGTCTTTGTGACCTTTTCTTCTTCTCTGTGTGGGAACTTCTGTTGATTATCTTTGTGATAATCATGTCATTGTGTTAGTCTCCTTTGTGTGAGTAAACTGTTGGAAGTGGTCTGTCCATTTTCGGTTCCAGTGAAGCAACTTGGTGTTTTGGGGTTGTGAGGGCTCGTGTGTTGAGTTCGGTGCCTCTGTGATGGTTGTAAAGGGCGTATGGTCCGAGCCTAAATATAAATCTAAACCTTGATCCAGTGGTATCAGAGCTTTCTTTGTCCGTTCTTGAGTCTTCGATCGAAGGTTTGAACATTGGAAAATTAAGTTCCAGGTGTTTGACTGTAGATCGCAAAACCCTAGGTTTGATTTGAGTCAACCTTGTGGTCTGTGGAGCTGATTCATTACTGGACTATGAAATGCGAGGGAATTCTGTGTCTCCTCACCTTGATCTGTGAAAGAACCTGAAATACGAATCCCTGTGGGTTTCGTTCTTGAGCTGGAACCCTAACTTCGAAATTGATTGGAAGGACTTGAAGCTGTTATGGCTTGACTTGAATTTTGGTGACCTGTAGAGCACTTATCCCCTACTGTGATAACCTGTTTTTTATTTCAGCTGGTGGTTAATTGTTTAACCACTTTCGGTTTGCACATTCTTGAATCCTACACGACTGCACACACTCTTAATTCTGCTTTTATGAGTATTTGCCTCTATGTGACTATGTTGATATGTCCATTTGCTGTATATTGTAACTTGTTACATTAATTAGTGATATCTTGTTATATTTGTCTGTGATCATTAAAGTGTGGGTGATTCAAATTGAGCCTTGACCTGAGAACTTGATTCTCACGGAATTCTGGTGAATTTGATCAACCCTAGGTCCTGCAGATATTGTTTTTGATAATGAGATATGGTTTTTTGCCTACATTGTTATATTCTCTGGTTCTTGTGGTGTTTACATTAGTATGCTTACTGATCCTGTTATTAATTGAAATTATTTGTGATTAAAATAATTGTGGCTCATTCATTTGACTGCATATTTTTTTTTGTGACCTAAAACATAAATTTTTTGTGAAGGTCAAATTCAACAGTTTTCAAAAGTTGATCATTTGTCTTGTTTTAATTTTTTTGGAAAAATCCTGTGTATTAGTTTTTCACAATAAAACATGACAAAATCTTTTGAACTTGGTGTTTTTGATGGAAAAGGGGATTTTCCCATTTGGCAACAAAAAATGCGAGATGTTTTAGTTCAGCAAAAAGTTTCTAAAGCAATAACAGATGAATTTCCTGATACCATGACAGATGATCAAAAGGAAGAATCTGATGAACTTGCTTAT